TTTACAGTAAAGGCACAATCAGTGCTGTTACAAAGGTTGAATGGAAATCACCATGTGTTGAAATTTCTGACTCTCCACGCTTTGAATGGCGCGGCCTAATGTTGGATGTATCACGTCACTTTTATGATCCAAAATCACTTCGTGCACTTTTTGATGCAATGGCACATCAAAAATTGAATTATATCCACCTTCACCTCACTGACGACCAAGGATGGAGACTCGAAATCAAGAAATATCCGAAAATGACAACAGTTGGGTCAAAATCAGCTTACAGACCAAAACCATGGTTTAGAGACGAAAGTGATGATGTTCCATATGGCCCATTTTTCTATACACAGGAAGAAATGAAAGAACTTATTCATTATGCTAGAGTTCGTGGCATCACTATTGTTCCAGAAATTGACCTTCCTGCTCATGCTCTTGCTGCACTTGCTGCTTATCCGGAATTATCATGCACTGGCGGTCCATTTGAACCACAATCATCAATGGCTGCTTCAAAAGATGTATTTTGTCTTGGAAATGACAATACATTAAAAGTACTCTATGAAGTCTTAGATGAAGTGATGGATTTATTCGAAACTAAATATCTCCATGTTGGTGGAGATGAATGTCCAACTGACCGCTGGCAAGCTTGCGAAAAATGCAAGAAACGTTACCAAGAATTAAAACTTACTAATTATCAACAACTTCAATATTGGTTTACTGACCAACTTTTGGCATATATTGAATCCAAAGGTCATATTTTAGTTGGATGGGATGAAATCTATAATGATAAAATGTCTAAATCTGCAATGATTATGGGCTGGCATGTTAATCAAGGAATCAAAGCTGCAAATAATGGCCATAAAGTTGTAATGTGTCCAACACAAAACTTGTATATTTGTCAATACCAATATACATCACCTGATGTCTTTGAATATGCTACATTTGGTTATAAGACATTACGCGTTCAATATGATTACGAAGGAACAGCTGGTATTTCTGAAGCTAATAAAGGAAATGTCCTTGGAATTCAAGGAGCACTTTGGACTGAATGGGTTTGGGGAGAAGATGTTGATCTTTTCTGGAAACTTTTCCCAAGGATGACTGCAATTGCTGAAAATGCATGGTGTGAACAATCAAAGAAAGATTATAATCGATTCTTAACTTCCCTCATCCGTGCACAAGAAGCTAGATTTGATCATGCACAGATTGTTCACGCACCAGCTGGTCAGGCACAAGGATGCCAATGGAAAGAAAGCGATCTTAGAGACAATTGGACTACAAAGAAATGGACTGTATTGAATGGACTTGGAAAACAAGGACCTTATGAAGTTGCTTTCATTCTTACAAGTGGAACAAATTCCCTTAAAATTAAGAATGTAAAGCTCCTCATCGATGATGAAGAAGTTGCAACATCAACACAAGAGGGTGAGGCTGCTTGGGAACCAACAGGAAACAATATCTTTAAACTTCAAACAAACGCTTCTGGTGCAAACAAAGAAGTAACAATCATGGCAGATATCTTGGGCAATGGTGGAAACGATTCAGAAGGAACAGTTGTTTTATACTACACACAAAATACATAAAGTGATTGAAAACTAAAAACAAAACTTAGTTGGAACTTTTTTTTGCCTTTTATACGTTTTTCAATTTTTTCCTTGCTAACTTGTTTGTTTTTTCCAATCTTTTCATGAATGGTGATATCTTCAAGCTATTTCGATAGAAAGTGTGGAATTTTTTCAATTGAAGGACAATTTGGAACAGTTAAGGTCAATTACATTTATCCGATAATCTCATGAAGAAAACCACGATTCAGCCAGTTGTCGCCAAAAAAATGTTAAAAGCAAACAAAGAAGTCGGTAAGTTCAAGAAAGGAGTTCCACCTTTGATTGTTTCAACAGCCGAACTTTTCGTCAAAAATATGATTAACGAAATTACAAGTCAGTCATCAGCGGACGAAATTAAGCTCGAGGATATTATTCAAATAATTCGCACAAATCCCCAATACGACTTCCTTTTGTCATCCATAGATAAAATTTCCGCTTGTGCTCAAGACGACAACAAGAAAAAGAAGAAGGAAGCAGACGAATAATTTATTTATTCTTACAATTGTTTTCATTAAACATTTACTTACTTTTCTCAATTCTCTATTTTGATTATTTTAATTAATCAACAAAATCTTTAATCAAACTCAACAGATTGAATAAAATATAATAAATCAAACAACACATATATTAAATCAAACAATACATTATTAGATCAAACAATACATTTATTAGATCAAACAATACATTTATTAAATCAAACAATACATTTATTAAATCAAA